CACACACACACACACACACACACACACACACACACAGTGCAATGTTTGATTGATACGGCTAATTCAATTCTGTTGTTGTGGTTCAGACTGCAATCACTCTCCTTATGCACAGTTGGTGTTGCCAGCATCTCACATTAATCTCTGCTACTTCTCAGGCCACCAACTGTTGTCTGCATGCAGAACGACTACAGAGGAATCACACTCTTTAATGAGATGATTACATGGTGTATACATCATGTAAACGCCTACCCACATTAAATCAGTCACCCGTAAATGCGTTTGAATACATAATCCCTGTAAACCACGTCTTCATATATTATGCACAGTTATTGTAAAGAACAGTATTGACTAAAAATGATGATGATTAAACAAGGGTCCTGACTCACAGAGCTATGGTTCGGTCTAATCTTTACGTTGCTATGTTGCTACCATCATGGAGCCTTTAAGTGCTCATCCAGTTTGGCTGGAAATGCATTCAAATGAAATCTGACAGTCTGCGATTTAATGTCACATTTGCTGTAATGTGTTGAAGAGCCCAGACAGCTTAGTTTTACTCGGGTAGCTTATGCTTATAAATCATGCTGTAAAAATTCACAAACAGACAGAGCTCATTGAATTTGTGGCGTTAAAGAAGCTCGGGAATGCACTGTTTACTCTGCATGCTCAAAACATTCGGCGACGGAGGACCACTTCTCCAGCAAATCGTCAAACATTTCCTGATTGCAGCTTCTTAACTGCAAGATTTGCCGCTTTTCTTCCGATTCACATCGGTGTAAAGTGAATATATTTCGAGGGCTTTTGGAGTGTTAATCAAACAGAAATTTGAAGGCATCGCCTTCTGTGTGGGGAAAACTGTAATGGGTACTTTTAACTACCATCTGACATTTTATAGACTAAATGAGTGATTGAGTAGAAAAAATAGCTGAAAGTGATCATTAAGTGCAGCTCTAGCAGGAACATTTTTCATTTGTATGACAGATGAAATTGCGCTGATTACTGGCTCTCTGGCTTTTCTGTTGAAGCATGTCCTTGCACTATCAAATGTTTACCAAAACTTGCTCTGCTGCTCGCCTTGTGATAATTTTATCCCATGCTTAATACCAGGAGCTAAATTGTAAGCGTAGTTCAGCCTCCTCAGCGCCCAACCTTCTAAAATAGCTTCTCTGTGGCAAAATGGAGGTGTCATCATGCCATTGATATTGATGAGTACTTTCCTCTGTTTCCCTCTGTGTTCGCTGTGTGAATGCTTGTTTGATTGCTTTGTGTTGTGCGCGTGGCTTTGCGTGTGCATTTGCAGCTGTGTTCAACCTGATCCCAGTGGGGCTTCGTGTGGTGGCCATCCAGGGTGTCCAGACCAAACTCTACCTGGCAATGAACAACGAAGGCTTTCTCTACACCTCTGTAGGTCGCCACAGACACACATACACACACACACACACATAACATCACAACCAGCGTCATTAATGCTACAGACTCAAACCTGCTCTTTGGGTCAGGTTGAGTAATGAAGCAGAAGCTTTCACCGTGAGCAGACTCATTGTCATCACATCATCACATCAATACTTTAACTACAGTGTTGCTTTGTGAGTCAGCTGCCACGGGGTGTTATAATCCAGTGTCTGAGCCTCCCTTATCTGTCTCCTGATATTGTGGCTTCTCAGGATTGATTTCAGATCATCCCCCAGCCTCCTTTTGTTTATCTCCCTTCAGTGATTCTGTGATAGGAAGATTACTTTGTGTCTGTTTACACACACAGCTCCCAAAATTTGTTTTCATGTCTTTTCCCACTCAAAACACACGTACACCCCCCCCCCCCTCCTCCTCTCCAACGCTACTGTGCCTACATTTTCTCAGACAGGTCAGAAGGTAGTGCTGGCTGCAGTGCAGTGCATTAAGTGCCTCACTTTAGCTGCACAGCTCTGATGGTGGGTGGTGTGGAAGCAATAACAACAACAGAATCAACAAAAATAACAGCAATCTGAACAAAACTGTGAGACCAGCAGATAGAAAACTAACAAAGAGGAAATAGAAGAATGGCACAGACCCCGATGTAATAAGAGCCACGCTGCTACGCCTGTGCAGACACGTATGCCGCCACAATATCTGGTCCAT